TTTTGCCTCTTGATTGCTTGCACAATATCCTTGGCTTGACTCTGTTTGATATTTCTTGGTCCACATGCATGTTTGGAAAGGATTAAGGCATTTTGATTTTGATAAGCCTCTAGCCAAATAAGCCTACCTTGAATTAACTCCTCTGATAACCCTTGAGCCTATTTCCCCTTCTTTGTTTGAAGCTCATTACAAGCCTTAAGTGAAAAACCATGATTACCTTAACCTTAGGGAGTATTGGATCTTTGGAATTGTTTTGGGAATGAGTTCTTGAATAAGTGTGGGTGTGTGTGTGTGTTTCATTGGATGATATATATTGGCTAGTTGATTCCTCATGTTGTACATTTTACTTTTCTGATTATCTTATCTCATCTCATCTAAAAAATTTTGTGTATACTGTTCACAATTAAAAAAAATATAAAAAAAAATGAAAAAGAGAAGTTGTTTGAGGCAAAGGTAAAAGGATTGATTATTGTAGAGGTCATTAGAGGTTTCTGGGTTTACTTCTTATGCTTATTCTTGACTTATTCCCCATTCCTCCTCTAGTTCCTCTGGGTTGTAGTTACTTATCCCATATATTATCCTCTACCCTGTCCTTGGCCTCATTACAACCCTAAAAAGACCTTTTGATCCTTTTGTGCATATGTGTTGGGTGTTGATTCTAGAGGCTTGCCAAGTCTATCTGTTGCTTGTTTTTCATGAGTGCTCTGAGAGTATACAGTAGCCTAGACACTTGAGAGATACAGTGATATAGTTCATATCTTGTGAGGTTCTGTTGCTTTTCATTCACCTCTTGTACTGACCGCTCTCCTTGCCATGTTAGAAACACTTGGATGATGTTCATAGGCATTTGGTTTCTTTGGTTCCTTGTGTGTTGCATGTTGTTTATCCCTCTCCTTCCCCAGGATTCAATAAGGAATATGTAACTCTGTTGTTTGTGTGTTGCTATTTTTGATTTTTTTCTTCTCCATGTGGCTCTCTTTGTTGTTCTGAATTTATCCATTGCTCTGCTTCATGATTTTGCCCAGGAGTGCAAAAGGCTAAGTGTGGGGGAATTTGATGAGTCATTATTTTCCCTTATTTGTTTATCTTTTTGTACTTATTTTAATTGTTGATTTGAGCTTAATCGCTTATTAATTGTATAGTTTCACTGTTTGGGCTTCATTCGCCAGTAATTCGAATTTTAATTAATTCTGATTCACTTGGTCTAATTTTTGCTTATCAATTATTTTCAGGTTAATTGTCGAGCATTTTCGGGCTTGGATATTATTTTTGGACTTCAAGAGATAAAGGGCCATGTAAGCACCATGTCAGCACCAACCTGCCACATCAGCCACATGTTTACATTTTTGTTCACCTTGTTTTAGTCTTTTTTGGGCCAGACAAATGGGAAGGAGGCCCACTTTCCTTTTAGGGTTTTGACCATGTTTCTTTTAGGTCTTGAGGCTGACCATGCAGCCACCAAGTGGGAAGACTTGATGTGACCATTTTTCTCTCCTTCTTCTCTTACGTTTTCCCTGTTCTGAAACTCTTTCTTCACGTTTTTCTTCTTTGGTTGTATTGAGAATACAGATTACTCATTTTTCGTTTTCTTCTTCCATTTCTCTCTTTGTTTTCTTCTTTGCCTTCCTCCATGGAAGCCTAAACTTGTAACACTTTCTAACTTAGTTTAATGCTCATTGAGGTCTATTTATTTCACTGCATCTTCGTGTTCTAACCCTTGTATTTTCCATGCTTAATGGTATTTGTTCATCTGGATTGAATGTTTGGCTCACGGTTTCCTTAATCCAGTGAAATAGAGAAATGAATGTATGCTAATGCTTCATTTGTATGCGTTCAAAACAAGAGTAATGACGTTTAGTGATTTCTAGAAATTGAACCAAGGTTTAAAACGATTGAAGATAATATTTTGAACCAATGAGATCGGCTGTCGGCTACCAAGTTCGACTATTCGGTGGCCGATCGGATGTCGGCTATCCGGTGGCTGAGTGCTCTTACCCGTACAAAAATCGGTTTTGGATCATTTGGATAAGTAAAACAAAAGTTATAGAATTTTGATTTAGTCATATTCAATTTGGATCTAGGCTGGCAGATTTTTGGGAAAGGTTCTTGGTTTTGGGAAAAAAATGAAACAAACCTTAAAAATTATAGAAAATTTTTGGTAGAATCTCCCCTAAATTTATAGCATTTCCCAAAAAAAATTAGAGTAAAATAACATCCAGAAATATTCCAACAAAATTTAGAACAACAACATATTTGTGTAGAATAAATTATCAGTTTTAATAATCCTCACTCCCCCCATACCTTGGGTGAGTAAAGGTAAGGAGTACGAGAAAATAGAAGGTTTAGGATTCTTGTATGGTGCTAGAATAAGGAAGAAGATGATGAAGGTTATTTGATGGAAGAAAGAGATCGAAGTTGATTTATGATGGCTTGGTGTTTAAAAGAAGGAAAATAAAAATAAGAGGGGGAAGGGGATGCAGTGTGGCAGTCTCATAAAGAAGAGTGGGATGAGGAAAATGTGAGGTTTTGATGGGTATTTATAGAAACAAAAAAAAAGGGCTTAGATGATAAGAATGCTTATGTCATAATTGGGTTTTAATTAAAATTAATTGGCACATGATATGAATTGAGAAAAAGAGGAGTGGGCAACAAGCAAAGGTTAAAAAGGTAATTTTTGTCTTTTCAATTTTTATTAAAAAATTTTAGGTTAATTATTTAGATATAAAAATTAAGCGTTGTAGTTTAAAATTAATTTTTATAATAATTTTTGAATTTCTACCAATTATTTTAATATTTTTGAGTTAAAAATTCATATTAATTTCATTTTAACTCAATAAATACTCAAATTTTATGAAAATTATAGTTTTGCATATTTCATCTAAAAATGAACCAAAATTTCTACTTTTACAAGGTTTGAAGGCTAAATTGATACTAATTAGCCTTAGTAGATAATTAAGGGTATTTTGGTCATTTTTTCCAAAAGTTTCTAAAAATTCAAGAAAAATTAACAAAAGTATATTTTGTGGCATCTATTGTTCAACCACCACTTTCCCTTCTTGAGGTTTTGTCATTAATTAAGGGGATGAGGTATTTTGTCTCACTTGTTGCTCCTTCCTTCTATGTAGGTTCTAATGAAGTTTTGTGGTCGAACTTTTACCTCGCATAAACTAATAAGAAACTAAAGCAAAATTTGAGATCTAATAAAGAAAATTAAAATTAAAATAGAAAATTATAGAAAATAAATCAAAAGGATTAAAACTTAAAATGGCACCAAATTTAAATTAATTATAAGACGCAAGTCCCCAGCAACAAGGTCATTTACTTGTTAAACTTTTGGAAAGTATATCAATTCTCACAAGTAATAAAACATATAGAAATTCAAGTATCAAATCTACATAGACTTGCACTATGATTAATTAATCTAATTAAATGGTAATTAGGAAAACATTTAAAAGATTTGTTTGAAGAATACATAAAAGTAAAGAACATATTTTTAGGATTTCAATATTAGAAAGCAAATTACAAAGATAGTTATAAATTTATAATAAAATATGCTAGAGATTGATTTTACTGTCCTTCCTAACACATATTAATCATAATTATTTAATTTATAATTATTATTAGGTTAATCCAACAACCATTAAAATTATTTTAATCATAATCTCTTAGATGAGAAATTTTAAGTTCCTTAATAAAAATCTCAATTACGTGATGAAGTTAATTAAGGAACATGCATTATGATTGAAAGTTTAAACATTGGCTAATAATTCCTATCGTTATAAGCATTTATTAATGTTATTATTTATATCTTAGTTTTAAAAGGGTTTCTCAACATCAATTAATTATATGAGATCATGTGATGGGTTGATCAAGCAAAAAATAAACATTAAGAAAAGAACAACAATTAACTAAATAAAAACTTCATTGTATCAAACAATAAGAATTGCAAAAACAAAGTCAGTTATGTCAATCTACAACAACATGGTGAATTAATCGTGCATGGCTAAAGGAATTGCATAAAGGGGGAAAAAAAGAAGAAAAAAAAAAAAAAAAAGATCCTAAAGGAATTTGTGATTACTCACATTTCTCACTATACTCTTAAATCTAGCTTTAATTGCATTGTGTACAAATGTTTTTCTCTATGCTTCAAGGTCCTTTTCAATATTTTAAATTAGGCATTGCTCGTAATCTCACTTAAACGGCCAAAGTTACTCACTTAAGCAAGCTTATTTTGACGACTCTAAGGATGCTTGCAACATTAGCTCATTCATGCAACTAGAGTGGTTCGCTCGAGTGAGCACATTAGATTGCTTCCAAAAGCATTTCGACCTCTGCTCCATCAAGCACCTAGGATGACTCACTTTGAGCATTCATGCACCCTCGTTTATGTGAGAAAACCTAGTACTTTGTGAGTTAGTTTTGACCTTACTCAAACTTAAGCAACCAATAGTTCCAATTCTTTTGTATGGGTCTTTTTTACTAGCATTTGGTTCCCTCTTGCTCTTCACATAATTTAAACATTAAACCATAAAAATATCTAAGTTTAAAGAATTGTGTCAAAATAAACTAAACTAATTTTTCTAAATTAAAGTTATGCCCTGAAAAGTCATGTAAAAATTTGTAAGTAATAACTGTTTAATTCTCAACCAATCACTTTACTTTCCTGTGCTACTCTGTACAAGTCCATAATTATTACCGTCATTTCACTAATTACATCATAAATTGCGGAATCTTTGCGCACATAAGATCAAAATTTTGTTGATTAACATGTAACGTAATTTAATGAATTAATGAGATTATTGTATATAAAAAGTTAAAAATTCGCCCACAATTTGAATGCTCTTGGTTCGTTGGGTTTATAATGTTACTTTGAATCAATAACGGTACTGTATTTATATTCTGTTTTGCGCTGATATATTGTTTTAGGCAAAAACAAAGGACATAATACATTTTTTGTCCCAGAAAAAACAAGGACATGATATCAAATCAGCACTCCCGAATTTTGCCACATATGCAACATAGAATCATCATCATCTATGCATTTTGAAGTTCAGAAAGTACACTAGGTATGATGTACACCTTCGTTCAAGTCATGTATGATGCTTTCAGGTGTGGTTGCTAAAACAAAATATGGAACCGTAAATAGATCCCAACATTATCACACCTGAATAAGCTAAGGTAATGAACTCAAAATTTACACCTCCAATTGGCTTTGATCTGATATTTATCTACTCCGGAACCTCGGTTTTCCCGAACCTGTAAATTGAATCAAGAGCATAACAATGCCTTTAACAGCAAAGCAAAATAATATACTCAGCAAATGCATGTATCATAGTTCATTCCCAAAGGGCCACAAGTTTGCAATTACTAACCTTGCTTTCTCCAATTTTTCGATCACATGTTTCATAGCATATACCGTCATCTTCTTCACCTGTTGCAAAAGCAGCAATAAAGGGGAAAAGCTGCATAAAATCACTGTACAAAACCGTTGACATTACAGTATAATACAGGTCTGTTTAGATATACTTCACTGGATACGTTTTTAATATAGAAAAATGAAATAAATTTCCACAAAAACTACAATTAACTTATGCATAAGTTTATTTGTAGAAACTCTAAATTAACTTCTCAACAATTTTATTTTAAACTTATGGAAAAGTTTATTTAGATTTTCCTTCGTATTTCTACCACTTAGAAGTAGTACTTATAGAGAAATTCATCCAAATAGACCACAATTGATTGCATATTGCCAACTTTAGCTCTTACTGTATTTAAATAAATTAATTCTAGAACAAATCAATATTGCTACTAAACTTCTCAAAACCAAACACACCTAATAAGCAGAAACCACACCCACCAAAAGCCAGGGAAGACAGCTTGGACTCTTCTAACCACATACACTAGATAAAGTGTAAATACTCATTTCCGTTCCCCAAAATAGTCCTTCAAGCCCAATTTAACGTCCAAAGGACATTGAATTTGAAAGAGAAAATTTGTATCAGAAGTTGGAAAAACCAAACAGAAATTACATTTTTTTATGGATCAAAATGGGTTCCATAAAACCAGTTATTAGAGAGCTTTGCATGGAAAGTAATTGGCCAGTGGTAAAACACAGTTTTAAGTAGGCATTGACCGTGTATTTGAGTTCTTCTGACTTTATGAACAATCCTATTTATGAAATGCAAATCTTCCCCCAATAGATTGTGTCAAAAGAAACTATAAACCGGGCAGGGAAGGCAAAACTAGTCAACAGACAGAATATTATTCCATATTCCTCAAGGGTATTTTGTACACAGTACATAATCCTATTCTAGGAAATATAGTATACAATCAATCTAACAATTAATACATAGATTCTAATCACTAATTCCTATCTAAATTTGGAAACAAAATATTTAAAATTTGTACACAAACTCTCGCCCTCAAGTTAGTGCATAAATATTCACACACGTCCAGCTTAGACACTACTGAAAAACTTCAAAAAGTTTTTAAAAAAAAGGTAATTCTTTTATGAAAAAAGCTATATAACAAATGAGCCCTATAAATTGGTAAATGATATCACTTACTAATGAAGGACATGGACAGTTGGACACCTTCAATTTTACTTTAATCTTTTGAATTTCAAAAAAATAATTGAGCCCCGCCATTCAATCAGTACCCCATCCCGAACAAGGCATTTTACTTTTTGCACTACCTTCATAAATACATTGGATGAATGAGCATCAAAGTATGTCGTTTGATTGTGTGGTTGACTAGTTCTAACATGGTTAGAACTTCTTGCAAGATATTCTCCATTAACAAGCTCATTTTGCTTAGCCAATCCTTTAACAATGGTAGAATGGTGTCCAAATTATCAAGCCTTTTTCTCATTTATCCAGAATCTCAGCATATATTTGGGATAGCATCTCCCTTTTTTTTTGCACCTAAACATCATGGTGAGAATTGGATCTCTGCATCTCAACATTCAAACCAAATTGTTGAACTCAAGAAATGAACATACTGAATTCTGAATAGATTACAGAAATAATTCTTTTGTAAGGATTCTGCCTAGCAAGTAGTTTCCTCCTTCTAAACACTACAAACAATAAACTGACACCTAATTTCCTACTTCAGGTCAATCAAACCATATGCATAAAACATAACTTCCTAAAACAAAACAAAAACAAAAAAATAAAAGAGAGAGACGCTACATCTCAAAAAATAGAGAAGCAAATAAATAGCATAATCAAAATCAATAATAGTTTGCCATACCTCCAATTTGTCCTCCGTAGACATGTGGTTTATTGGAAGTGTGCGAAATTCCTCTGCCAAACGAAAGCACTCCCCAACATTTTCAGGAGAGACAAAATCCAATGCAACCTTAATACATGACTGCAAAAGGAAGACATATATCATGAATGTTTATGCGCAGAACATTTTAAACATTACTCTAAATAAAATCAATTAAGCTATATTGGTGGGGACTTGAGTATTTTGTAGAAAAAGCACTGATCCAAATCTCCCTGGAGCCATTCCATCCAAAAATACAAACAAGAATTACAATGAAAATGACTAATCAAACTTAATGTATCAAAAAAAGACTGGGCCAAAAGCTTAAATGAATCAGCAGTTTTCACTTTTCACTTTCTTCAAAGACTTGCTTTGCTAATGAAGGACCTAGGCTTAATTAAAGGTAGTAATCAAATATACTACTATAGTATCTCAAAATCATACCAAAAATCATAAAATACTTAACATTTATACACATCCAGGAAAACAAGGATACAACATACCTACAATAAATATGAAACAAATTCACCACATATGTTCATTTTACCTTCAGATTTCTGACTTGATGAGGACAACCAGCTGGAATGAAAACAGCATCACCTACCTTTTGAATAAAAGTCCAGGGCTCAACTCCTACAAGAAAATACAGAACTGTCAATGTAGAGACACAACTCAAACCCTCCCTCCAATCAAATATGAAAAATATTGTGTTACTAACCATACTCCTGCTTAAGCTTCCTCTTATGCTCCATGGTCAGATAGAAGGTTTGGTCATGGATGGGATGAATAACCTACAATAGGAAGCCCAAATTCAAGAAAAAATAAAGCCTCTATGCATTAGTTATTGTCTTCTAAACCAAAACTTCAAAAACTGCCTAAGCCAATCACATGAAAAATCTATTTGAAAACCTAATGAGCATTTTGAACCAGTAATTACACCATAATGTTTTCTTCCCTGCCTATGCTTAAAGAATAGACACAAAAATCATTTAATTTCCTCTTCAAAATAATTATTCACAACTATCTATTAGCAGCTTGATATTTCACCCAATCCTTTTTGACATGTATATTTAATGAAAACAAGGGAATGGGAGAATGCAAATGTTACAGGGATGTAAACCTCCAAATATTACAAATATAACCCAGCACTAAATATCTGGTGGGAACCAGGCTTTATTAACGACAAGGTACCTAAAAATAATTTACCTGTGTTATAGGACAGCAATGGACATGCCTGAACTCTCTGAAATGCTTCTTCAGATATTCCTGCAATTTAGGTACATCCTGCCTCCGAAAAATATCCCAGAGAGCACCTTCTAAAGCATCCCCAGCAAATAACAGATCACTTTCTTGTTTTACTTTCACTTTCTCAACCTCTTTGAGTTCTGATCCACATGAAAGACCATCTTCATTAGCAATGGCAACCTCATTACCACCAGAGGGCTGCTGAAATTGATCAACTTCTATCCCAGCACCAAATCCACCTCCATGTTCCATGACTTGGTCAGTATTTTGCTTGTCTAAATCATTTATGGTAGAAGATGAATTATTAAGCAAGTCAACATTAGATTCTCCATCCAGATTATCACCAAGAAGTTCCCTTTTGTCTTGCTCAAAGTGCTTTTGTTTCAACTTCTCAATGGCAGTAAGTTGCCTTGAATCCAATTTCACTTCAGATATATGAGTCAGCACATTTACCTAAAACCAAATTATTAAAAAAAATAATTAAAAAAAAAAAAGATACTTCAATCTCTTCATTAATGTGCATGCACTTGGGGCCACATACAGCGATAAATACAAAACTAAAAATTATTTGATCAGGAAAAGCTATGCAACTGGCTGAAGTAAAAGCTAATTACAGGTTTCTCTAGCCCAAAGGAAATCATTCATTTCAAATCCATCCTTAAGAATACTAATCTAACGACTCCACCAATCATAACTGATTACTTGTTCTAATAATCAATCAATCATTGAAACAACAAAGCCAAATACTCATAATATATAGAATAAAATGGGAGTTTATGGGCTGAAGACAATGCACAGAACAGAAAACTATGACATGGAATTGAAGCAACAATCTGCTCGTAGGAAACAGAAAAGAGAAATGCAATGACTTAACACAACAATTTATACATCCCACAACCTATACACCTTCCAATATGAAACTCCTTAAAAATAAAGACCTAAAATGTTCAAATAATTCTATAGAAAGCATTTGAAAATAATAGGCCAGTAAAAAAAAAAGAAAAAGAAAATAGAGCATACTGCATCGGACATATCACAATGGAGCTTAGTCACTGAATCACCACGTCCAAGCTCCTGAGAAAATCCATAAGCAATATATGTCTTTGGCCCCATGTCTGGCTTCAGACAATCTTTAGGCAACCTCACAGCAAGGTTAAGAGAACCTCCGAGAGGATCAGTATATTCCTTGAAGGGCAAGAAAGATATAAACTCAGCACAATGACGAGGCAGACGTTCCTCGAATAAATTAGAAGGAGGCCAATCTTTTAATTTCAGTATCTGAGGCCAAGAACGCCAATCCTCACGACCTTTTGTATACCCAGTGAAGAATTGGTGGATATTAATTTCTCCCTGCATTTAACCAGTCAAGTAAAAGCAGTAAAGAATTACCAAATAAGCAAAATAAAGCAGACATGATTTACTCTATTCCAATTACAAAACAGAAAAACAGAATGGATACAAGTTGAATATCATTATAATGTTCTCAACAATAGCAAGAAAACCAAAAAAGTACATTTTACCCAACATCAGCTAGATGCTGTGTGACTAAACTTAAGAAGCAGACAAACATACCAATAGGAAAACAGAGTGCAAATGATAGAAAGGCAACAACTAAAAAGGATCTGAATAGGCAAAGCAAGAGTTTTAAGATAAAGTTCTAAGATGACATGACTAGGAGCAAAACGTGGCCCTAGGACTAGGAAGTTGAATATGATGATGATAGTAGAAGCTCAGACAATATCAATATTTCTAGAAAATGTTGGGAGAGACAGCATAAAGCAAGCAACAAGGACTTAAGGTTTGTAACTAATAAATGAACTACATCAAAAAAATGACTTCTAATTATCACCCTAATGTGTCTTCTGCTGACCAACATTCCACGTTAGACTGTTATCTCTTTATGACCCAGACAGCAGAAGAAAATCTACAAATTGTTTCTTATAGGGGAACTATCCACCAAAATTTTTTAATTTTTCAGTACTTTACAAAATATTTCTAAAGCATAGTTATTAGAACCTTATGCTTCACGATTGGGAATCCTACACTTCGATACAATTTGATGAAATCTCAAATGACTTTGTATCTTATGATAAGTGCATGAATCACATGATTCAATGTTACAATGTTTTTTCTTTTTTCTACTTTTTCTTTCCCTCGGCAAAGACAAACAAAGCAAGTGCTCCGCTTGTTTACTAGAAGAGTATGTATAGCTCATATCTGTACTCAGTATTCGATATTACACTATAATAATATTATATATCTAACGCATACCCTATAGATATAATATTCCGTGAAAAAGAAAAAAATTGAAAAGTCATATAACCTTAAAATGTTAAATGAATAGGAATCGAAGGAGCACTGCTCAACTTATTCATTTAATTATTTCATTACTTTATTTGTCAACCACTCATTCAATGTCATGGACTCTATTTGGCTTTTTCATCACATAGGCTTCACAAACAAAAATATAACTAATAATCTTGTTTTATGAGACTTCTTGTTATGTTCTTTTATCTATTTCTATTTTAAACTATTACATTGAACACTGTATCATCTACATGATTTTTGAATTACTTTTCATTGTCTCTAATTTTTACAATTTGATACAAATTATGATTCATGATTCAAAAATTAACTTGACAATTCCCGATTTGAATCTCGATTTTGATAACCTTGTTTCTAAGACATTCAGTTCAGACAACTCTATGGAATTCAGTAATTGACAATATTAAATGCACTGAAACAATTTTCAATCCAGAAAATGATCAACTTACTAAATTCTGGAAACATGTAGGAAAATCAACAGCGTAAAATTGCTACAATTAAATTATTCCCTAAATGCCATTTTCAAGCATAGCAGTTCCATGTAAAATAAGTGTCAACATTAAATAATTTAAACATAACCTTTGTGAGAATGAAGGTTTAGTGCAAAACTCCATCCAAGTTCAAGATTGAGAAACTAAACTAACCTCACACCAATCTAAGCAATCAATGGCCTTAACATCCAAATGGTGTTCACGCTTGGTAAAAGTCATCTGACGGCATGCACGCCACATGACAAGTGGTTCCCAGCTTAAACCAGATGTACATTCAAGCACATTGCTGACAACAACAGGCTCCCCCTTTTCCCAATGCCACTGAAAATGCCTTACATCCTCGTCCTGTAGATCTACAGCCCGAGGACAATATAAATAGTTGTCACAGGAATCTTCACGAGAAGCAGCCTTCCTCGTATTATTATATCCAACATCTGCATTTTCATCATGACTCAAACACGAACACATGTTGTCAGGGGTCTTAACTACATCTTGAAGCTTGTATGCTTGAGCTAGTTCATTCGCTTTACCCACTAACTCAGAGATAAAATGTTGACCCAATATGCTTCTCAGTTCAAGAGAACCATGGTTACATTCACTATTGGCTTTTGGACAAGGAATGCTCCCATCACTTTCTGCATGCCACCCAGATCTTGACCATTCACGAACTACAGGCTTAGCATTAACATTTGGTGTATTTTGGTCTGCCTTTTTATCTTCTTTTCCACCATGCAAGTAATTCTTACCTTTCCAGACAAACTGCAATGCAAATGGATCTGCACCCCCTATAAGCTGCCCTCTACGAAGCTCACGGCAACAGATGAGACAAAGATCAAAGGAGCACTTTGTGCAGCTTCTGTGGTAATCAAATATTGACGTTTTGCAGTTGTCACTACAAGAAAGTGTTAAGTTAACAACTAAAGATAAGAGGATAACTAGGAAGAGATAACTGGGAAGAAAACAATAAGTCAGAAAAATCCCAACCAGTACACACGCTCCTTTGGAGAGAAATCTGCCTTTACTATATTCAGCTTTGAGACTGAGAGCCCTGTAGTGCACATCCCAAAATCAAATTATACAATGAAAAAGATATGGAACTCGCACTGATGACTGAACTCTGATTGGAGCATCATAAAAGATAAAAGCATAAGTATGCCGCAACAGTGCATTCAAGAAAAATAGTTCAAAGTAGGTAAGTGATCCAAGATCGAGAGGGGGAATAAGAATAACTATAAGAAATGGGTTGCTTCTTGTAACAGTCAGCAGTTCAAAAGGTTAAAGCTTATCAATTATTATAAAACAGATTATTCTGTCTTTTGCAGGTCAGATATTATTGCAAAGAGATCTGTGGCTTCAAGGCATCACTTCAAACAATGGTTTAGTTTGTGTTGGAACAAACATGCACTGATCCAACCCAGTTTTGCTTCAGCGTCAAATTCACCTGTTTATCTACACTGATTCACATATTATTAATAACCCCTCAATCAAGAATCCCAAAGGAAGAAATACCCAGTATTTTCGCTTCTGTCTCATTCTCAATCATCTGTTCTTCTTCCAACAGCCTTAAATACGGAAGAAGTACTTGCAGCAAATGCATAGAGAGTTCAACCTTCTCGTCTTCAATGGTCTCTGCTGCTTTTTCCCTCATTTTCTACAGTAAACCAAACGAAAACATTTCAAATGTTATAATACAAAAATCACAGAAAAATGCAATCTAGAAGAGGGAAGGAACTAACTTTAATAAGGGCATCAGATTTCAGACATGCTTTGCAGTTGCAATTACCACGGCATACAGGACATGCCTCGGCAACATCATCATTTTTCAAATGAGGATACCTTATCAAGACACAGCAAAAATATCAAGGATTGACAACATTGGTCATGTTTGCAGTTGTTTCTATCAAATAAAACTTTTCTACCCATACAAATTATTAAAAAATTTGGGTAAACAACTGAGTGCTGCATTCGTACATGGGCCTGCCATTTCAAATCTTTCCAATAATCTGTTTAATATCTTGCAGCACAAGAAATATGTTAAGACAACATCGAATTGGTAGCTGGCAATGTAGTAGGGACACACAAATTAACATCAGATATCTTAACCAACCAAACAAGGCCTATGCAATAACATGATTAACTGACATTGAAAAAAGGACAAAATCAAAAGAGAGGCAAAGTTATACCAATTTTTTAAACAGGGTAGGCAAAATCTCTTCCTCTTACAAAGTGTGCACCTCACAACCTCGCCTTTGTCATTTCTCTGACACTGATGACACATTAAGGACACCTCTTCAATCCACTGTTGAATGAGAAACAGAAACATGACCTCAAATACAAGCTAAAAATATGTTAATATTTAAAGCCAAACACAAACAAACATTCATCTTTCTTGTTGAATGATAAATCATGCCACCTTAGAATCCTTCTTGTTGAGTTTTGGTTCTTCTTCCTCCTCTTCTTCATTGACCTTACCGCCCCTTAGGCTATATTTTCTGCCCCTTCCTGAAGAATCCGCAGGCATTTCAAACTCCCAGTCATCTTTCTTAAGAATCTTTCTCTTTCTACCGCCTCTTTGCTCAGAAACCCCACCCTTTTCACCGTGGTTTTTGTCTTGAGTGTCCTCATTCTCCAACAAATTGCCCTCTGACATCTTTTGCTCCATATCCTCCACCTCCTTCTCCTTGGTACTTTTTCTGCCACGCTTATTCTTCTTCACTTCCTTAACAAAAGAAGAACCTCCAACACCATTTACACCGTGGCTATCATCTTGAGTATCTTTCTTCTCCAACATCTTCATCTCATCTTCCTCCGTTTTCCTTTTTCTGCCACGCTTATTCTTCATCACATCTTTGACTGAAGAACCTCCAACACCATTTTCACCGTTGCTACCGTCTTGAGTATCTCTCTTCTCCAACATCATCTCCTCCAATTCCTTTATACTTTTTCTTCCAGGCTTCTTCTTCACTTTAACAGAAGAAAAACCTCCGACAACCTTTTCATCGTGGCTTTTCTTTTGAGCATCTTTCTTCTCTAACTCCTTTTTACTTTTCCTCCCACGCTTCCTCTTCACTTCCTTAACAGAAGAAGAACCTCCAACACCCTTTACATCGTGGCTATCCTCATTACTATCTTTCTTCAACAAATTTCCCTCCAACATCATCATCTCCTCCTTTTCCTTGTTACTTTTTCTGCCACGCTTCTTCTTCACAACCACCTCGACAGAAGGAGAACCTCCAACCCCACCACCATTTCTACCGTGGCTTTCGTCTTGTGCATCTTTCTTCTCCTCCTCCAAATTACCCTCTAATGCCCTCCCCTCCATCTCCTCTTTACTCTTACTACCACACTTCTTACCTTCCTGAACACAAGAAAAACCTCCCCCAACATCATTGTTCTCAGTCAAGTTCATTACTTTCCCCTCATTGGCCTCACACAAAGCATCAAAATCCACAGACTGTGTTCCTTGCTGAGCGGGGATTGCATCCACGGGAACTGCTTTCTTCCTCCGCCAATTCCTCCTTCTGGGACCCATGAAATCAAGGTTCTCTTTTCTCTGGTTTCTGTATTTTGCCAAAAGAAACAACAAGATCAACAACAATCACAGTTCACAAATGACAGTGAAAAACAATAGCAAAAACAGATGGTGAAAGCGAAAGTGAGAGTGAAACCCTAGTTATGAGGTTGTCTTGTCTCTGATGCTTTATTTCTCTTCTGTTGCACGCACACCCAAATGAGAAGGAAAGGGAGAGAGTTTTAAAACAGGCGCCAACCTTAAATTTCAAGGAAAGCGCGAGTTTAAATTTAATTAAGCAATAAGCACAAGATAAGTAAAAACAAAAGTGGTTGAAGTTTAAATTTAATTAAGCAATAAGCACAAGATACGAGGTGCAAGTTTAAATTTAATTAAGCAATAAGCACAAAATAAGTGGAAAGGAAGCGTTGTCCTAAAATGTGATACGTCCCAAGCAAAAACAAAGTATAATAAACTGATGTTCCTTTTAGGATGGTAATATGGTATACTTAAGCATGAAAAAACGTGTACTTGTTTCTGACAAGTGAGTGAAAACGTGGGCTTCAGCCGGCAGATATTTTATCTCATGATGACGAAACCAGAAGATTTTAAAGAAATTGCCACGTGCAACAATTCAATTGCACATCTATCAAATCTCCACAGTGAATGAACGATGTTCTAACTTATTAAAAAACTAATATTTTAGAATGTGAAAGTAACCCTTTTATAAATTTGGTAACGTTTTTTTGATCTCATTTTTATATTTAATATTATTATTCTTAAATTTAATAAAAAAAAACTTTTAAAATGTTTTTTAAAAATAAATTTTTATTTTTGTATTACTTTAGATTTAGCAATAAAATTTATAATAAATTATATATATATATATATATATATTTAAAATTAGTGTATATAAATATTTATAAATATATAAATTATATTAGTATTTTAATTTGTGTAATACACATACGTATTTATTAATTACCTTATTTTAAGTATTTTTAGTTACCTTAACAAATCATGAATGACAACAAATTACTATCTATTATCTATTACAAAGGAAATAGATTTTGATAACTATCTTTTCGATTTTATTTTTATATTTGACACTATTATCTTTAGATTTAAGAAAATTTCTTTTTTCAAAAATTTTTATTTTTGTATTGGACAACAATATCTTTAGATTTAACAAAAATTTTATTTCCATTTTCTTACAATTAAATATATAGAGGCACCAAGCGCCTTTTTCCTTCTAGCACTAGTGCAAAAATTGGATTTAAAATCAGACTTTTAAGATCGGTTACAAGGTAACCGATCTTAAAAGTGACGCGGTGGCAATTTTGTAAATAATAAGAACACTTTTAAAAGTACTTTTAAGATCGATTATTTTATGACCGATCTTAAAATGTATGTCTGACACAACTTTTAAGATCGGTTACAAGGTAACCGATCTTAAAAGTGCTACTTTTAAAATCGGTTATTTCAGAACCGATTTTGTATGTAGTATACAAAATCGGTTCCAAAATAACCGATTTTAAAAGTATCGTCAGAATCCTTTTATATTTCCCTCCATTCTCATTCTCTTTAATCTTTCTCTCCATTCCTTTTTTTACTTTCTCCCGCTCATTTTTTAAAGTCTCCAATAAGGTAAATTTCGTTGTCGTTTTCATTTTCGTTTTCGTCTTCTCATGCTCTTCTTGTGTTTATTTTCGTTTTCTCATGCTCTCTCTTGTCTCTATTTTCGCTGTAGGTTCATTTTAGGTAAATTTCGAATCTGGAACGGCCTGTTTTACAAGTAGAACGACCCGTTCTCCTTGCAGTACGGCCTGTTCTACAAGTAGAATGGCCCGTTCTACAGGTAGAATGGGCCGTTCTACAAGGAGGAGAACAGCCTGTTCTACAAGGAGGAGAACGACCCGTTCTCCTTGCAGAATGGCTTGTACTGCAAGGAGAACGGGCCGTTCTGATGCCCGTTCTTTAAGCAATCTTTTTGATAACCTGTAACGGATGCCCGTTCTTTAAGCAATCTTTTTGATAACCTGGAACGACCCGTTCCAGTTTTGGAACGGCCCGTTCTAGTTTAATATTTTTCAAAGCCAGCAATTTTAAGATCGTTTATAAAACAACCGATCTTAAAAGTGAACTTTTAAAATCGGTTATTTAACCGATTTTAAAAGTCTAACTTTTAAAATCGGCTCTTCTAAAATCGGTTACGGAACCGATTTTAAAAGTTAAAAATAACCGATTTTAAAAGCCTTTTTCTACTAGTGCAGTTATATATAATCAAAATCTATAATAAATTATATATATAAATAATATTTAAAATTAGTGTATATAAATATTTGTAAACATATAAATTATATTAGTATTTTATAAGTATACATAAATATTTTTAAACATATAAATTATATTTTAGATTTATGATAAATAATTTGTATTGAAATTTTTTATTTATTGATAATTTATTTTAAAATATTATTTAATTAATAAATAATTATGATAAATAAAAATTAAATTAAAAATCTTTTTTACAAATCTTCTTATTGAAGAAAAGTCTCTAAAAATACCCTTATACAAGATAAGAACTTGTATTTAATATATAAGAATTGATTTAACATCTCCCAATTAATTTAATTTAATATTATAAATTTTACCGTTCGAAAGATAATTCAATGATTAAGAGTGCAAAGCTATAACATGTCTCTTATATTTTTGTCCTCTGATTATTTTTAAAACTTAATTTAATTTTACTATTTTTAAAAGTTTAATTTAGTTTTTAATTTAAAAAATGTTATATTTTCATTGTGGGGTTAATGAAATTAAATGAATGGAGCACATTGAATATTTTTGAAAATTAAAAGATCGAATTAAAGATTAAAAATTATGAGGTGAAATTGAATATTTTAAAAATAGTATGATGAAATTAAACAAAAATTTATCTAATATTTTTTGTCTAGATAATTTTGAATATTTTTAGTTACCTTAACAAATCGTGAATGACAGCAAATTAAATACATGAAATTAAAAAGAAATTATCTAGTAATAAAGATTATGAAATAAAGAAATAAAATTTAAATTTATCTAAAGAAATAAAAAATGACAAATTTTTATTCAACTTAATCCCTTTATTTTTTGGAATGTTCAATATGCTTTCACTATTTTAAATAATTCAATTTGGTCTTTCAATTTTTAAAAGATGTTTCATGTATCCTTCCATTCAATTTAATTTGTGTTGTTAGTGTCAATTTGAAAGAAAAAACAACATTGAACATTTTTAAAAAATCAAAGGACCAAATTGAACTACTTAAAAATAGTGAAATCAAATTAAATCTTAAAAATAAATACAGGGACCAAAAGTATAATTTAATCAATTAAAAAATATTTTAAACTAACCTTTCCTTCTTGTTGAGATTCATGGATGATGAATCAAGTTCTGAAGTGCTTTGATGATAACAATGGTCATGAATGAACAAAGGAGAAAACGTGAAGACCATGAATGAATATCAAATGTAATAGGAGTAGTTTATGTGTTTGTATGTGTTATGTTCCTTTGTTAGTCAATTTTATGTTCCATGCATGTTTATGAGTTTTTATGCTTTGTGCATGAGTCAAGTCTTAATTTTGATTGTCTAAGAATAAGTATGATGATGATTGAGAATAACTTGGAGAGTTTATGGATGCGTGAAATCGAATTTTGAGAACTAACTCAAATTAATCGATTATTACTAACTATAATCGGTTATTTCTGCTTTGTTTTTCAATAGTTGAGAAACCTTGTTGTAATAATTGATTATTTGTGAAATAATCGATTATCCTAGAATTTGCTCTCTGGAATAATCGATTTTCCTATAAAATAATTTATTATTCTGTTCTTGAATGATTTCTAGAAATCCTGAAGAACAAAATAATTAATTATCCTTAAAAATAATTGATTATCTGAGTCTGAAAACTTTATAAAAAAGGATTCTATCATTTAGAAATAAAATTGGAGAAAAAACAAGTGATATTGTGCAAACTTTGTGATATACTTTTGATCTTTGTGATCTTCTTGGAGAGTTTTCTTTGTGAAACCAAGAAGTAAAACACTTTGTGAAATGTTTTTAAAAAATTCATCATCATCACTACATTCTTAGAGAGAGGAACTAAGATTGGTCAAGAATTCAAAGTCTGATTTGTTCAATTTTCATGTGAATTTGTTCCTTAATTTTTTTTGTGTAATGTGGTAAGAATCTTGAGTAGGTTTCTCAAGTGGTAATGAGTTCTTGTAGTGGGTTTCTACAAGAAGTACTTTCTTGGGTGCAAGAAAAGTGTCTATCTTGTGTGTAGAAGTGTATGCATGTGTGGTATGCCTATAAAACTTTTTCATTAAGATAGTGGAACAAATATTGATCAGGTTATGATTGAGGATTGTATGTAGGTCACATGTGGAGTGGCTGAACAAGGATAAGTCACTTTGCATTCTTCTCTTACCCTTATCTTTTATTTTAAGCAATATTTAGTTGAATTTTAAAATGAATGCTTATGATTAATGATGAGTCGTTATTTTCTCTTATTTTCTTACCTTTTTGTACTTATTTTAATCTCTGATTTGTGCTTAATTGTTGATAACCTGCACTGTTTTCTATTTGGGTTTTAATTGGACCGGTAATTCATATTTTAACTAATTTGAATTTTTTGTATCTAATTATTCCAATTTTTATTTTCAGGGCAGTTTAATAATTATCTAGGCTTGGAATTAATTTCTAGACTTCAAGACGAGTTTCCATGTCATTTGCCATGTCAGCGCCACATCAGCAACATACTTGCATTTTTGTTAACCTTGTATTATTCATTTTTGGGCCAGACACATCCAGATGGGGGCCCAATTTCGTTTTAGGTCATATGAGTCTAGGTTAGGGCTGACTGCAGCCACTAACATGAATATTCTGATGTGACCACGTTACTTTCCCCCCCTTTGTTTTTACGTTTTTCTTTCCTCTCTGTTTGAGGTTTACGTTTTGCTTCTTCTCCAGCCACGTTTTTGTTTGCTTTCTCTTCTCTAGTTGTAGAAACTGAACATTTACATTTGAAGAATACAGATTACTCATTTCTTGTTCTCCTTCCTTGCATTTTCGTTTCTGTTTTGGTTCTATTTTCGTTTCTATTTTCGTTTTCATTTCTATTAAATGGAAAGCTAAAACCCTTGGGGTTGGCTCATTGAGCGGATTGCAATCTCTATTTGAGGGTTTATTCATATTTGTATCTGTGTTCTGCTTGGTTCTTCTTCATTGAACCTATGAAACGTTTTTGACACCTGTTCATGCTTAATGAATCAGGTTGCTCACAGGTTGCTTAATCTTGTAGGGAGGTTTGATGTTGTATACGTTTGCTTAATTCGTGTAGGGAAATCCTGAGTTAATCTTCGCTTAGTTGGTTCACTCGGATGGAACAAAGATTAAGTCATGAACAGA